GGGGGGTGGTCTTTTTGAGACAGGGTCTCCCTGTAGCCCCAGCTGTCCTGGAACTCACTATGTAGACCAGGCTGGCCTTGAACTCACAGAGATCTACCTGCCTCTGCCTCCCGAGTGCTGGGATTAAAGATGTACGCCATCACGCCGGCATTGATTTTTTTTTTTAAAGCTCTTAGAATTTGTATTATAGATCAAAACAACACAGGCCTACACCATTCTCCCTAAGTTCACTTTATATCCAATAAATTCTTCCTGATTTCCTCTATTTCAGGGCTCAAAACAAGTGGGGAAATGATTTCCTCATGACTCAATTGTAAGCCTTAAGCCAGCAGCAAAGGCTCTCTAAGCCCTTCTCCCTGCAGGTGCCCACTCTCGCCTCTGCTTGTGTTTTGCACAGCAGGCTGCCACTGACTAAAATAAGCTCCCCTGACCAACTTGTCCCCAGATCGGGGTGCTCACGACTAGAAATGTTCACCTGACAGCTGCATTTTACATATTATTTTACCTTTTAAAATGTAAGTTTGGAATAAACTTAGATTTGCATACTTTATACACCAATATTTATAACATTTTTATATCTTCAGTGCCTACAGGTCCAAGGAGCAAAGCCCTACTCCTTAGTGTAACTCAGTTATAAAACAAATGGAGCTGAAATTTTTCTGATCATTATTTCTTCTTTGATGGTAGGCCACAAATTTTATCTTAATTTGATCTTCAGTGAAATGTTTCAGTGTCAGCAGAGCTGGATACTCTCAAAGCCCCTAAACTTTTTGACTCTCAGTGGCTGAGGTGGAATCAAGAAGACACTTTTGATAATTAAGTTAAATAGCTCACTTTTTATTTTTTTAATTTTTTTTTTATGTGCATGCATGTATTGCCTGCATGTGTGTAAGTACACCCATGTCGCGCAATGCCCACAAAGGACAGCAGAGGTCATAAGATCCCCTGGAACTGGAGTTACAGACAGTTGGTAGCTGCCATGTGGGTGCTAGAATTCGAACCCAAGTCTTCTGCAAGAACAGTCAGTATTCTTAATCACTGAGCCATCACTCCAGCCCTAAATAACTCACTTTTAAGTCAGTAAGTCATATCTTTAATGTTTGGTTTTATGGTTTAGATAAAATAGCAAGGCAAGGTACAACTTACTAGAATAAGTGAGGATTATGAACCACCTTTCAGCTGACAGTTGTCTGGCACAGTACACTGCTGAGAGCTGGCGCCTGGGTGGAAGCTGCCCTCAGCAGCAGGGTAGGCCTCACCCTCTGGTCTCCTTTAACCTCTTGTAGACTTGGGCTTCAGTTCTTACTCTTAAAAACCGAGGCTCATGCTTTATAGGGTGCACTTGTGTTTTCCTAAGCTGGAAGCAGAGCTGCTTGCTTGGTCCAGATTCTGCCACCACTCATTGTTTCCAGTGATCAGTACAGTTATGCCAGGGTAGTGGCCATGCCTATGATGCCAGCACACAGAGGCAGGAGGATGGAGATTTCCAAGGCCATCCTGGAGTACATATTATGACCCTGAAAAAAAGAGAGGAAAAAAAATACCAAATAAAATGCTGTAGTTGTGAACAGAACAGGAAGGAATGATGTCCTTTGTAACCTGAACTGTTAACATGTTCAAAACATACTCTAGTTACGGCTCAGAAAGTGTTGGTCATACTGGCACTGTTTTTCTTTTACTTTCCTTTCAGGTAGAGTAGCCCAATACAGATGTAGTATCTGTAGGGCACATCAGTCTGATCTTTCAGGCCTGATTCAACCTAGTTGGTCATTTTTAAATGACTCCTGCCTCCTAGCTCAAAGTAAAGAGCCTCAGTTGTTGATGTTCCCCTTTTGGTAGGGTACTGCAGCTGAAATGCATTGTTTTTATGTGCTGTCACTGTGGTCCTATATAAAATGCAGAACATAGGATTTCCACTTTGTATGTGAGCTCTTGGAGCTCTGCTTACTCCATATGTCCAAACCATAGGTGGCTTTGGATCCGCAAAGACAAGTTCATCATAGCAAAAAATCTTTAGTCTCACAAAACTCAGTATCTGTCCTCAAAAAGCCGACTGGTTCAGATTATTTAGTGCCTCTTAATCAACATTGGTTAATGTGTGTGACTGGTTCACAGGTACTCCTGATTTCATTTGTGTTTCTGTATCCATCCCTCAGACTTAATGAGATGAAGAGTGTCCACATAGTTAAATGAAATGTAATAAATAGTTTAGGTATTACTGAACTAACTCATACCACCACCTCTTGAAACTGTGTCCTTGTTAACTTCTGCATTATACTCCCTCAGGACTGACATGCTTATCTAAGTATCTGAAGCCTCAGGTCAATCCAGCATTACTGCTTTTGCACAGGTTTTTAGGTCTTCCCAAGTAGAGGAGCGAGCTCTATGATAAAAATGTGTTTTCATTAGAGAAATCCCTTAAAATGAGCTATGGGCAGAGTAGTAGAACTTTTTTTCTTTTTCTTAGCCAATTTTATTTAGCATTCAGAAAGAACTCATAGGCAAATTGAGGTTCAATTTTAGTTTGAAATTGGTGATTCATTACTATGAATTTCCTAGCAAAAATTTATAGCAAACCAGTAAAAGATCATTTACTCTCCCCAACCTCTTTCTGAAAAGAGAAAATGGGATACTTTAAATTTCCTCTGTGGTAATGCTCCCCATATTGGTGTGGGACAGTAGCTTCCTATTGGGAATGATCTGTGACCAAGTCAGGTAAAGTTCAAGCATCTGTACTTCACAGTGAGGGGTGGCACTGAGAGTGAGGTGAACCCTAGTCCCAGTTAAACTTAACATGGAAGGTGTTCTCGCTAGGTTAAATCCAGACCCTAGCTGCCAACTTACCTGTTGAAGTTCTGCAGTTATGAGAGGCCCGGGAACAGTGAATGGAACAGGGTGTGATTAAAGTCAGTGGAAAGAAGCACTTAGGTGCCTGACTACTGGCATTCCAGTGATAGCTCCAGAATTGTATCATTAAAGTCTCCCCCTGCCTTCCACAGCAAAGCATTGTGACTATGCAGATAGGGATATCTTCATTGCATCATGCCTGCAACTTTTTAATTGAGACCAGTTTGTCTTCTTTAAGAAGGCCTCTGGTGACACCACACTGCTGATTTACTAAAATGGAATTTCTGGTTCTTGCACTGTCGTGGCATCAATATTGAGAGCCTGGTTAACAAAATTAAAAGCATTAGGGCGTATTTAATTGGAGTAAAACCTGAAGAATTATCGGCTGTTATTTACTGCCCCTTTTCTGAGGAAGGCTTCCTTCCTAGAAGACTTGTGATCTCCTGGGAATAGCTACTTTCCTCTGAAGAATTCTTAATACCAGTAGCCACAGCAAAACGCTATTGTACTTCAACATTCTCAATCCACAGGCATAAAAAACTAACTTATTTTTCCTAATTGTTGAGTTTATTGTAGAATTCTATGCTAAGCATCCATAGGTGCTAAAGCTTTGAGTAAGCGGAGCTTTCTCACGGCTCTGGTAGCACCCAGCCCGGCACATTTCATTCTGAATGTGAAGTGTGTGCCTCCGACCGCAGGCCCTCAGCCTCCCCAGGGACCTTGAGTGTGGAGCCTTGTCCCAGCAGCTCGGCAGTGGCAGCAGCAACACAGCAGGAGAGTTATCAGGCAGCCTCGGCCTCGAGCAGATTTGACTCCTGGAGCTCTTTTGAGGGGAAACCTGGTAAACCGTCAAGGTGTCTGACTGCCCTCCCCCCCTCTGTAATCTGTGTAGCCTAGGGAAGGTCTGGGGAGGCAAGCCACCAAGACCAGCCCTGCTGGAGAGACCCCGTGTGGGCTCATGGGGGCCAGGGTGTGACTAGAACTTGATCCTTGGAACAAATGTATGTTGTTTTTATGGGAGGGGGTGGTTCATTGTTGTTAAAATGATTTGATGGAGAATTTTTTTCAAATGGCAAAAACCAAACTGCTCTCTTTATATTGTTTTTGAGTGGGTTGTCATGGAAACAGAACAGAGAAATGGGTTTGGGCCTCCCCCAGTCCCAAATTTCTGCTTATTGCAGATTTTCTTGAAATGGTCATTTCAACAGATAAACAAAGAACTAAAATAAAAGTCTCAAGCCATTATTAAGGGACCCTATACCAAGGACCTCAACTCCCACATAGGGATGAGGGTTTCAAGGGTCTTTCTTGCTGTGAACAAAATATGTCCCAGCATGAATAAAATGAAGTAGTATGAATAATAGACAGTTTTGTATCCATGAAATCTCCTGTAAATCTAAATCATTCAAGCTGTCATGAGGATGGCATGTTCTGAGCAAGGTTTGTTTTGGGCTTTGTGCTATTGAACCTATGGCTTGGTCCCAATTAGTCCTGATATGAGGCCTGAGATGAGTGTGACAGGGAATAGCCAGGAACAGGCTGTAGATCTCAACTTCACGAAACCTTTAGTTTTTCCCTGCTGTCAGTAGTGAGACCTGCAGCAGGGACTGCTGGCATCTCAGCCTATTGCTGTCTGAGGTTAAGAGCAGCTTCAGCAAGCTAAAGGCTTCAGGCAGACAAGTGAACAGAGGCCAGAGCAGGGAAGAACAAGCATAGCGTAACCTCCTGGAGACCCGCTCCTTGCTGCAGTGCAGGCACGTGGAGAGAGGTGCTCTGTCTCCATGCCTGGTGTCAGTGGGCAGGACTTCAGAAGATGTAGGGCCTGTCTGAGCACCTGCTGTCGGCACCCTGCATCTCAGACAGAGGCTGGTCTCTGCTTCACAGTAGGAAGGTGCATGCCACCAGACCAGACTGCAGAGCTGAACACCACCTTGTTCTCTGTCCAGGTCACGCTCTCGGTCCCCTCGGAGGAGAGCTCACTCTCCAGAGAGACGACGAGAAGACAGGAGTGTCCCCACTGCCTACCGGATGAGCAGCAGCCCCGGGGCCAGCAGGAAACGGACCCGTTCCAGGTAGGCTACTGTGTCTCACCAGGCTCACATTTCAGAGGTTCCCAGAGAAAAAGTATCTAAAGACTTCATATCACCTGTGTGAAACAGTTGTAGCTAACTGGAGTGTGATTCTGATCTTCAGTAGCCTTGTCACCACTGGGACTCCAGGTTCCCCTAGTGGTGTGGTGCCGTCTCTTTGTGCAGAGGGTCACCAGGGGCATGCAAGTATCCACAGCACTGCTGTGTCCACCCATTCCTATAGGGCCCTCACATGACTTTGCTCTGGGCCCTCATTTTCTCTTAGCAATAGCACGCGAGCCTTGCTGTCTCTGCTGGATCCACCCTAACCCCTCTGACCGCTCTGCAAGGAACAGAGAAGTCAGCAGAGAGAATATAGCCTTCCTGTCTTAGTTTCCTGCCTCATTTCCAGTAATGGCCCCTGAGGTGTATGATGGTGACCAGGGGAAGAAGCAAGTCTAAGCTCTGGCTCTGGACCGCTTACAGATACTTCTCTCCACCATAAGAGGACAGCAGAGAGGTCAGCCACTGTAGTTACTGAGCAGAAGCCCTAACCACTAGACTTGGGCCTGACCCCTGATAACCAAAGCCACCCCTCAGCCCAGTAAGCCAAAGTTTCCTGGCATCTCTGCCCTGGTGAGAACCCCAGGCTACCTCATACTTAGGAACCTGGCCCTTTCCCTGGCTCCTCTCTAACTTCAGAAAACTTCTCTGGCCATCTGCCTTCTCTGAAGTCTGCCTCTGCTCTTGTGTTAATTTACTTTCTATCTGTATAACACAGTGCCTGATAAACTTACAAAGAGTGAAGGTTTATTTTGGTCAGTTTTGAAGGTTTCAATCCATAATCTATATTGGCCTTGTTGCTTTGGACCAGTGGTGAGGCAGCATATCATGGTAGGAGCATATGTTAGAGACAAACTCCATTGCCTCATGTAAAGAAGAAAAGAGGAAGAAGGTGGATCCCACTATCCTCTTCAAGAGTATGCCCCCAATGACCTAAGAGCCTCCTACTAGGTGCCTCTTGAAGATCACAGCCCTTCCCAGTAGCACCATCCTGGGGACCAAGCATTTAGCATGTGGGCCTTTGGGTGACATTTGAGATCCAAACTGTGGCTGCAATAGTGGGCAGTCACCTCCATGAGTACCATCTTCCCAGCCATTGGTGGAGTCCTAGAACAGCCTCTGCTGATTCTCACAGTTGTTGTCTTGATGGATTTCTTTAGTTTCCAAATGAATTGAAGTCAACAGGCCTCTGCCTAGGGTAGGAAGACTGTGCTGCTGTCCCTTCAAGAAAAGGACAAAACATCCAGAAAAGGCTAGAATCTTTAAAGGACAGACCCTGGATTACAAGTGAGCAGTGCACACTTGAAACCCCGGTTGTTGCCCACAGTGCTATCCACAGGATTTGAGCAGTAGCCATAGAATTGCCCCCGGCAAGAAATGTGGCTCATGAGATTGTCAAGGATGGGCTGCTGATTGGGAAAAAGAGATCGCTTGTCCTTAACCTGAAAAGCTAGCAGAGGAGCTGCAAAGCTGATGTCAGTGAAGATTTCTCATACACACTCACCATTTATATATTATATTCCTGGCCTTTGTGATCCTACCAGCCGTTGCAGTACATAGAATTCATTCCTTAAAGCAAATGATTTAACATTTGAAGTTCATCATCACCTTTGGTATATTGTAAAGGGCATGGTCTAAAATTAATTCTTGCAGCGAAAGCTCTCTCTCAACCGAAAAATTCTTGCTTTGCCCTTAAATTAGCCTTTGTATTCAAAGAGGTAGAATGGGAGAGGGCAGGGTGAGGCCTGTGTCCACAGTTGCTGGGGCAGCCACACCCATATCAAGCACTGGTACTTGTGAGGCCTCTATCCTACCACTGGAGCAAGAGGCAAATGAGCTTCCCTAGGTGCCCTCTCAGGGTTGAAGATGGGAACCCAGTAGCACCAAATGTGTACAGCTGCTGACAGGTCCTTTCAAATTCAGTGCTGGTCCATGTGTTACTAGCCATCCAGTCATTCCCTTCAGTGCTGTGTTAGACTGTCTTGCTCCATCCTTCTGTCTCGGTATACGGGTGGGGTCTACTTTAGCACGGTGGTATGTGACCAATTCACTGTTGCTCTGATGCTATGACATCACCCAGGCCAAAGAGAGAGTACTGCTGCCCCGGTTGAAGCAACATTCCTACAGATTATCATTGCCTGCTTCTTGCACTGACTTCAGTTTTGAAAGCACTTTCATTGATGGGCAGATTTTTTTTTAATACTTTATTTGTTATATTTATTTTTATTTTATTTTATTTTATTGTCTTTTTGAAGCACGGTCTCCCTGTAGCCCCAGCTGTCCTCAAACTCACTATGTAGACCAGGCTGGCCTTGAACTCACAGAGATCCGCCTGCCTCTGCCTCACAAGTGCTGGGACAGACGTGCACCACCATGCCCGGCTTATTTTTATTTTTTTATGTATATTCATGTATCGCCTGCATGTAGGTAAGTGCACCCATGTCGTGCAATGCCCACGGAGAACAGAAGTGGCTGTTGGATCCCTTGGAACTGAAGTTGCTGACAGCTATTAGCTGCCATGTGGGTGCTGGAATTTGAACCCCAGTCTTCTGCAAAAACCTCCAGTGTTCTTAACTGCTGAGCCATCTCTCCAGCCCCAAACAGTCAATGCTCTTTTTCTTTTTTTTTTTTCTGTAGCCCCAGCTGGCCTAGAACTACCTATGTAGACCAGGCTGGATTTGAACTCACAGAGATCTGCCTGCCTTTGCCTCCTGAGTGCTGGAATTAAAGGCATGCGCCACCATGCCTGGTGATGGGACGATTTTAAAGCAGCACTGAAAGCCTCTCACTCCAGCTGCACATGCTGTTTGTCCTGTCCTCCTCCCTTCCCTGGCTCCATCCATTGCCTCTTCCTTCCTGCCAGGCCAGCCATGCTGCAGAAGGCCCACCGCCAAGATCAGTTACTGCATCATTTAGTGATGCTGGGCCTGGCGCTCAACTAAGATTAACTTTGCCTCTTTCTCTCTGAATAAGCAGGTTGCCTTCTAGGTGGCACTCTGAGACCATGAAAACTCTGTTCTCAGCAGTTTTTCACCACATCAGTTGATGATGTCAAGAACAGCCACTTGCTGATCCTGTTTTTCTTCTGTGCTCATTAGTTGACTACCTTCTCAAAAGAACAGCCCCTTTTGTTTACTATACAATTTTCTGTTTTCATATTTAGTTTGATTATGACATTGCCTCAAATCTGGCTGAGGGGCACCGTCCAAGCCACTTATGATGAGTTTTTTGTTTGGGTTTTTTTTGTTTTGGGGTTTTTTTTATTTTTTGACAGCCTTAGTGCTCTTTGAACACTTGCTTTCCCACACAAGGTGTTCCAGGCTCACCTAGTACTTTCCCTGCCCTAAACCTGGGATCTACTCTATCTCTATGTAACTCTTCTTCTTTTTAGTGAGTATTTGGGAATCAAGATCTAAGCCTATTGAACATTTTTTGCGTGAAATTTGGTAGCTGTGCATGTTGTTGCACACCTGTGGGTCCATCCCTCCAGCACTTGGGAGATAGAGGCAAAAGGTTCAAGAGTTCAAGGTTATCCTCAGCTATATAAGTTCATGAGACCCTGTCTCAAAACAATAGCAAAATTGATAAAATATAGAAACAAAAAAAAAACAACATTCATATAAGACATTTGAATGTGTCATAAAAGCATGTTTCATGAGTCCAGTGTGTGAAGTCACATTGGTGTGTGCTTCAGAATGGCTTGGTTATTTTATTGCAGTAAGGAAGAAGACATAGTGTCTTCTTGCTGCTGGATTCTAGTGTAGAACACTGTGTATGACACAATGTAAAGTAATCAAGAGTACACTGCTGTTGGAAGGTTCTCAGGCTGTATGTGGAGTGTCATTCATTCAAGGCATATAGAGCAACCAGGAAAAGTGTAGCTGAAATGCTGACAGAATGGGGCCAATGAGATGGCTCAGCAGGTAAATGTGCCTGCTGCCAAGCCTGATGACCTGAATATGGTCCCTGGAACCCACATGCTAGAAGGAAAGAAAAGCATTCTGTAAATTGTCCTCTGACCTCCACACACATGCCTTGACATATACAAGTATGTGTGTGAGAGCACATGCACACACACAAAATAAACATAAAACAATTTTTTTTAAGTTGAGGGGATATAAAACAATTTAAAAGAGCACTGACTGCTCTTGCAGAGGACCTGGGTTCAATTCCAAGCACCACATGGCAGCTACAAACCATCTTTAACTCCAGTTCAAGGAAATCCAAAGCCCTCTTCTGACCTCCATGGCATTGCACAACATGGGTGTACTCACATACATGAGTGCGATATATTCGTACACATAAAATAAAAATAATAAATAAAAATAAAAAATAAATTGCTTCATTCAAGAGAGATGGCTCAGCAGTTAATAGCGCTAGCTGCTGTTCCAGAGGATGGAGGTTGGGTTCCCAGCGCCCACATGGCAGCTAACAACAGTCTGGTAACTCCACTTCCAGGGGACCTGATGCCTTCTTCTGGTCTCTGCAGGCATGACATGGGTGTGCGTACATACATGCAAACTCATACACATAAAATTTTTTTTTAATTTTCAAAAGGGGCTGGAGAGATAGCACAGTGGTTAAGAACACTGACTGTTCTTGCAGAAGACCCATGTTTGAATCCCAGCACCCACATGGCAGCTAACAACTGTCCATAACTCCAGTTCCAAGGGATCTGACAGTCTCTTCTATCCTCTGCTGGCATTGCACGACACAGGTGCACTTACCTATATGCAGGCAATATACTCATACACATAAAATTTAAATAAATAAAATATTTTTTAAAAAATTTAAATGCTTTGTTCTAAAGCAGAGAACAGGGAGGAAAGAGAAAGCAAATGAGGCAAGTAGATAGAGTATATAATTAAAATTTTGCATGAGTAACTGTGCTAAGTGCAGGCAGGTCAGGCAGATTCTAGACTTGCATATAAAGATCTAGG